CAGTAAGAGTCTGACACTCCCTTCCGCCTCACCCAGGCAGGAGCAGTCATTCGATGATTTTCCCACGTTAAAAAAAAAGCTACTCTCAGTTCGCGACGATATCTAATAAGGCGTTAGCATGAGTTTGTTTGACTCTGATTAGTTGATTTATTTTTTTATGTGTGATGGGCCGACGTTTGACCACTATTTCGCCTGGTGGTGCACGATGATGCGGTCTACGATGGAGCACCGAGCGCGTCGTTTATTGGAGCCGACCAATCAGAGTGTCAAACGCGGTCCTGTTTCGATTAGTCGCACTAAGCCTTCAGCTATGTGGCTGACAGTGGTTGGATCTGAGGAGCTGAAGGTCGAGGTCAGTGGCGGGATATTGGAAGGGCCTATGTTAACAGTTAACAAATAATCTAAACATAGCATAGCAGAGACGAACGCCAATTACTACGATTCCTACATACCTCTTTCGCTTCATCAGCAGTCATCAATCTTTTCATGCATGCTCGTCGGTTAAGGGTACTTTTAATTTGGCCCTTCTTTAATAAGTATATCGCCAATCTGGTCACTATATGTCCGTCTAGGGCACCCTCTGCCGACGGCCCCATTCATATCCGCTCTGTATACTTCTTTCGAGAAGAACATTTTGAAAGAAAAAGGTCTGGCTAGGGTAACGTGCCAGCAGGAAATGTTTTTGTGAAATAATTAAAAAACTATAAGCGCAACAAATTTCAAAATGTGCGCAACAATTACAGAAGCCGCAAACTAATTATCTATAAGATTCAAATTACCATTTTCGACAACATCTGGCCTGAGCAACGCACACTTATCAGCCTATTTCCATACTAAAGAAATCTTGAAAAATCAAAAATTTCATGAACATATTCGTCAACCTGCCTCCTATTTGAGTGAGGCAAGGGGCAATAGAATGCTAAAATGCCATATCAAGTGTGGGGGAGCCATGCTCTGGCACGAATGGGCCGGCTCGACCGGAGTGATACCACGGCCGAGCAGAAAACCGACGTGAAGCATTGTATTGTGTTTTGTCGTGTGAGTGAGGTTATTGGAGGGCCAATTACCCCCTTCTCCAGTCTCTCCAATCCCCAAATCCCCCACAATCCTCAAATTCCTAGTTCCCAAAAGGCCGGTAACGCACGTGAAACGCATCTGGTGTTCCAGGTGTCTATGGGAGACGCCTATTGCTTACCATCAGGTGATCCGTCTGCTCGTTCACCGGCTTATCTCATAAAATATAGGTATATTTATATATATATATATATCATAACATAATATAACATCACGCCTTTTATCCCCGAAGGGGTAGGCAGAGGTGTACCTACCTACATTATGCCACTGTACAATCTAACACCCACTTTTCACAATTTATTTTATGAGTCCCATCAAGTCCCATGTAATAGGGGCCTATTGCCATATACCGGGCACAAGATTGCCACAATCCAGACTCCGTGCTACTACAGTGAATTTAAAAAAAAAACCAGTAATACTTTGCCCGACCCGGGAATCGAACCCGAGACCCCTTGCCAGGCAGTCGCACTTGCGACCACTCGGCTAATGTCAAAATATATATATCTTTCGCTTTATCTAAATTTATCAGTCTCTTCATGCATGCTAATCAGTTGAAGGTGCTTTTAGTCAAGTGTCATCATCAACAGCCTATACCACCACTGCTGACCAAAGGCTCTTCTCATACGGAGAAGGTTTGAGAACCTCGCTTGTTGTACGCTTGTTCAATGCAGGTTGGCGATTTCAACAAACTTAAGAATTATAGGTGGTTTCATAACGATGTTATCCTTCACCGTTTGTCGCGGAGAACCTAACGGGTAACCGGGGCTCCGGCTCGACGTGCAGGAGAAGGAACGGGGTGGGTTTTAGTCAGTAAGAGTCTGACACTCGCTCCCGCCTCACCCAGGCGGGAGCAGTCAATCGATGATATTCCCCCCTTAAACTGTCAAACACCAAGCGGTCACCGGTGACCGCAACCTATTGTTCTATAATAGGCGTGTCGACAGGGTAAAAAAATCAAAAAAGTAATTAGTCCGTCATTAAGATCGCACGAAAATATCAGACACGTATTTTTTGTTTTATCAAATTAACAGAAGAATACGTAGTTATTCCGCATTAAAGTTAGGGAGTGGGGGGTGTTGACGTCACACTTACGGAGAAATCGTACCTAAGTGTGACGTCACGCGTCATTTTAACTCAAAATAGGTGTCTACTTGTTTTTTTGGATACGAGAAAAAAGAAAAGTACGTATCTAAGATTTTTAAAATAGCTAAAAGACGGACAAAAAATTAATTAATAGTCGCCATGCCTATTGTGTCTACAAAACGAGTACTCGACGAGTTAAAAAAATCCTTCACCGTTTGTCAGTGGTGTCTAAATAATCTTAGAAAGTACATATAACGTGGTAAAAGTCACATTGGTATTTCGCCGTTTGGTATTAACCTGCCACCACGATCTTATCCCTGTAAGGATAGGCAGAGAGCACATTACGGCACTTAATGTCACTGTACAATGTAACACTCATCATCATCAGCCTGTATTCGTCCACTGCTGGACATAGGCCTCTCCTATGGCACGCCACTGAGCTCGGTCTTCAGCTCTTCTCATCCAACCACTACCAGCCACCTTGCAGATGTCGTCACTCCACCTAGCTGGAGGGCGCCCTACACTGCGTTTGCACAGACGCGGTCTCCACTCTAGAACACGTTTACCCCAACGGTTATCGGTTCTTCGACAAATGTGACCGGCCCACTGCCACTTCAGCTTACTGATCCTTTGGGCTATGTCAATAACTTTGGTTCTCTGTATGTAACACTCACTTTTCACTATTTATGTTCTGAGTCCCTTGTAATAGTGACCTTATACTCAAGAGTAGATAGAATAAAACACAAAAAAAACTAAAGATAACACGTTTATTTAAGAAAACACTTAACAAAATACTATTTATTCAGTTCTTTGTGAGCACAAATAAGTTACGAAAATTATCTTTCACATTTCGAAACAGCATTCATACATTGAGCCTCCTATACTAGAGCCAAGATCGATGTGAGATGTTTGCAAATCAACCAAAAGGGTAAAAGAACTACGTGTGTATAATTCCGCCGTAACGCACTCCCGCCCTCTATCTCACTCTATTTACTGACAGTTTTGAGTGATGACAATAACTACACAAGCATAGAAATATGCTATATTTTGCGGACAGATGTAGTCTTACCTTCGTGGTTCGTTTATAAACATTTCACATTGATTTTCGGACTAGGTATAGTGGAAAATATTCGTTACAATCATATAAGATATAAAAATGTGTTAAATTATTCCTAGATGCAAATTTTGATTTAAAAAGTTAAGAAATTGTACTAAAGTTGTTAGTAAATATCAAGACCAGCTTGATTAGACTTATAAGTAATTGATTTTGATTATTTTAAGGTCTTAAACGTCTTAGAAAATCGAATTTAAATAAGAATAACTTAGAACTCCTATTACTGGTGACTGAGAGAATGACAGACTACACAGCTGTAACTACTGCGCGTAGCAAGCTGTGTGGGGAGTGTAGGGACTGAAATCCTCCTGAATTACCCATAAATCCCCAAGCGGTCACCGGTGACCGCTTTCCACTAATATTACATTGCATTATAGACCTTATTTCTAATGTTTAGAGAATACTTTTGTATGACCAAATTTAGGGGATGGATATCAACGGGTTAAAAAACGGTTTTATATGGGATAAGCCAGTAAACGAGCAGACGGATCACCTGATGGTAAGCAATCAGCGTCGCCCATGGACACCCGGAACACTAGAGGCATTACAAGTACGTTACCAGCCTTTTAGGTATTAGTAATTTGAAGATTGTTGGGGATTCAGGGAATGGGGAGAGGGGAGAATAGTTTGGCCTCAGGTAACCTCACACACGACGAAATACAACGCAAGCGTTGTTTCACGTCGGTCTTCTGTGATTTGATGTTAGGACGAAGTTTTAGGCATGAGAGTATATTTACTAAAAGATGTTAATACATTTTTCTTTTCCTAACAAATCTTCTTAAGCTTTATCTACTCAAGCAATCTTCTTACAATTTTGCATACATATAGTTGGGAGTACGAAGAAGGATATAGGGCCTATACAACCATCTATATTAAGATTTTTGACATCAATTAAGAGATTTTCGACTAAGATCAGTGATTAATTAGCAGATACGCAAGTCCCTATCAACCTCGCGATGTGTAGTCATTGGGGGAGGACTGTGGAGGCAGGGGACAGTATATGGCTGTTATGTACAGTCAAAGGTCAAAAGTCCACTGCCACTATGAGTGATGTCCACACGGCAATGCGTAAGTAATTTTCATATTAATGTGCATATCAACGCGTGCGTACGCATAAACACGCACGCGTACGCACACGGATACAAATATGCGTGTGCATGTGTGTATAACCGATAGTAGTCTTACGGTGGCAGTGGACTTTTGACCGTTGACTGTACATACATGACAGATGATGATTAATTTCAAAGCCAATGGTCATTTCTAGTTAAAATATCTTAAGGCACTGTTTAATTAATACATAATAAAGGTACAGCACTGCTTTTTAGTACGCAAGTAAGAAAATAAAGATTCAGTACAGAGACAGTAACCATTGGTTGTCTAGAGCCAACTGAGTTACAAAAGATATGGCTTCGTTACAAAGCGTACAATCTAGTATAACAATAGCTACTGTCTCTATATTGTTTTTATGGCATAAGTCTGTAAACGAGCAGACGGATCACCTGATGGTAAGTATCGGCGTCGCCCATGGACACCTGGAACACCAGCAGCTGTAGCCAAATCCCATATAATTTGGTTTTCTATTCTACATGTAGACAAGCGCTAAATGGCATTTGGCTATAGCTGCAGAGGCGTTACAAGTGCGTTATCGGACTTTTGGCGATTAGGAAAATGAGGTATGAATAAAAAATTTGTTATGGAATGTGATAGTTGGGCCTCCGGTAACCTCACTCACACGAGGTTTCCTGCTCGGCTGTGGTATCACTCCGGTCAAGCTGGCCCATTCATGCCGAAGCATGGCTCTTTCACACTTTATCTCGTATTGAGTCAATCCTTATTTTATTATCTGCATACTAATAGCTGTGCTGACTCCAAATTAAATAGTTTTGAGGTACTAGAAGTTGATATTCTGTCCTCCTGCGGTTCCGAACTGATATTCTTCTTCAGTCTGAGTTGGCTGTGCGCTAGGATCATCTTGTTCAGCAAAGTATGTGTCTAGGATGTGCAGAACTTTCTTGTATATCTGAAAAGAATAGGACAATTATAATTATGTATAATTTCATAACATCAACATCATGCCTCTTATCCCCGAAAGAGTAGGCAGAGGTGCACATTACGGCACTTAATGCCACTGTACAATGTAACACCCACTTTTCACAATTTATGTTACGAGTCCCATGTAATAGGAGGTGAGCCTATTGTCATATACCGGGCACAATTCCAGACTCCGTGCTACTACTGAGATTTTTTAAATCCAGTTGTACTTTGCCCGATCCAATCGAATTTGCGACCACTCGGCCAACGAGGCAGTCGTCGTTATAAACTAGGTTTAAAAATATCGAGCACAACCCCCTCTTTTTTTGAAGTTGCTTAATTAATAAAATATAAATTTCTCCCAAGTTTAATAAACACTTCTAAAAAACCCGCATCAAATTCAGGGTGCTTACTCTTGAAACCAATCCCAATGTCAATGCAATTGCAATCCAATGAAAACTCAATAATTATTCAATGTCAAAACTATACAACCACAATAGGGTAGACGACTAATTTTTATTTTAATGTCCGTCTGGTAGATTATTTTCAATCATTAGACACGTATTTTTTATTTTCTTACAGAAACGAATACTTTCGACGATATATTGATTTGAAATGTCGCGTGACGTCACTTCTCAGTACATTTTATACTAAGAAATGACGTTTTAGCCCCCACTCCTAAACTTTGATTCGTTTTATCTAATTATTGTTTTATTATACGACAAAATAAAAAAATACATGACTAATATTTTTTAATTACCTAACTTATGGACTAATTATATTTTTAATTTTTATACCCTGTCATCATCCCCATTGTTGCTGTTAAAATAGCATTCAGAGTACGGAATACAAAACCAAACTCAATACTATTTAGTTCATTCAATATCCACGCAATACGGATGCAATGGGCGCTAGTGTTGCAACTCAAGAGTACGAAATTTCACAATACCAATGTCGATCGATCGGAATTGGATTCAAGAGTAAGCCCCCAGTTCAGAGTGCCAAGCACGAATAACTATCGCATTCGTAACGCAATAGTATCGAGTGCGTTCGGCGCTCTGATTGGCCGGCTCAAGTGCACCAACCAATCAGAATGCTTAACTCGCTCGATACTGTTACGATACGAATGCGATAGTTATTCGTGCTTGGCCCTCTGTTAGTCACGAGGTAATCGTGCGCAAACACACACACAGGTCAAATAACGAACCCCTTTTTGTTTGAAGTCGGTTAAAAAGTATTTTCCACATACCTGTTCATTCTCATGTTGCTGTAGATTCTCGATTTGATCCAATGTGCCGTTCTCTTCTAACTTCAAGCACAGAGCTTCAATCTGTCCATATTTAACTGCCGCCTGTAAATATATTATGACAATAATGTATTTTTTACGACAACTATTATCCTTTTTTTGGAATAAAATGCCCCCTAGGAATTCCTCCAGTGTCGTGTGTCCGTTTACAAACATACAAGTTCACATACAGACAGACACGGAACTACAATCTATGGATCACACAAAGTTGTTCCGTGCGAGAATCAAACCCGATACACGTTGCAGCCACCGCGTCAACCATGCAGTTGCCGATTAGTGGAACTCATTGAACAATAACATAACATCACGTCTTTTATCCCCGAAGGGGTAGACAGAGGGGCACATTACGTCACTTAATGCCACTGTACAATGTAACACCCACTTTTCACTATTTATGTTATGAGTCCCATGTAATAGGGGGTGAGCCTATTGTCATATACCGGGCACAATTCCAGACTCCGTGCTACTACCAAGGTTTGTACAAACCCAATAATACTTCCCTGACCCGGGAATCGAACCCGAGACCCCTTACCAAGCAGCCATATTATTTACCATAAAAAAAATAACATTAACAAACCTGCAATAAATTAGTAAGTCCGTCTAAAACAACGGATATGGCTCTATGATCAGGAGCGTTCAGCAGTGCGCAGTAAGGTTCCAGGAACCCGACTGAGAGCAATGCGTCCAGTTGTTCCGGAGTCCCACCCAGGCAGAGGTTCGTGATCGCCCACGCTGCCTCCTTACGGCATCTAGAATAAAGGGAATTGGTTAAAGCGAATGTTACATAAGGCATGGAGTTTCTTACTCGTTCTTCTCCATTCGAATCTACATTTTGGAATGAGCACCTAGCTTCACCTAGCTTCACTGACGGACTGACTGACAGACTATTTTTTATTTTGTATTTGTTGACGTTTCAAAAGTACCAAATTATGGTTTAAACTGTCAAACACCAAGCGGTCACCGGTGACCGCAACCTATTGTTCTATAATTGTGTCTACAAAACCGGTACTCGACGAGTTAATTGAAATAAATGCTTTGACTTTGACTTTGGCAGATATCATATACAATGATTATCTATATAGATCAATAAAATAGGGATGATGACAGAGTAAGAAAATTATAAATGTAATTAGTAAGGTAGTTAATGAAAAAAAATATTAGACACGTATTTTTGTATTTTGTCGTCTAAGAAAACAATACTTAAGTGTTGTTCCGTGCGGGAATCGAACCCGCGACACGTTGCGCACCCAATTGCCCAGCCATCGCGGCAACTGAGCACTCAATATTATTTATTTATTGTTAACTATGGTCGGCCCACTGCAGGGCAAAGGCGTCCCTACCCTCCTTTCACTCTTCTCTTCTTGAAGCTTTCTGTATCCAATCCTTTTAATAAAAGCAATATAAGATAACATCACGTCATTTATCCCTGAAGGAATAGGCAGAGGTGTACATTATGCCACTGTACAATGTAACACCCACTTTTCACTATTTATATCATGAGCCCCATATAATAGGGGGTGAGCCTATTGTCATATACCGGGCACAATTCCAAACTCGGTGCTTTCACTGACAATTTTTAAAAAACCCAGTAATACTTTGCCCCACCCGGGAATCGAACCCGAGACCCCTTGCCCGGCAGTCGCACTTGCGACCACTCGGCCAACAAGGCAGTAAAAGCAATATAAATCTTATACTAATATATAAAGCGGAAGAGTTTGTTTGTTTGTTTGAACGCGCTAATCTCTGTAACTACAAGTCTGATTTGAATAATTCTTTTTGTGTTGGATAGCGCATTTATCAAGGATGGCTATAGGCTATAAAACATCGCGCTACGACCAATAGATGCTAAGCAGTGCGTGTCAAACCGCGCGGAAGTAGCTAGTAACATATAAATCCGTTGGCTGTGTACATCCTGGCAGGTTACTGGAGCTCCGACTCTTTGTAGGAGTAGGAATGGGACGGTGTTAAGTCATGAAGAGTCTGGCACTCGCTTCACCCAGGGCGGGAGAAATCATTGGATGATATTCCCCCCTTAAAAAAGTATTTACTTACTTAATATCATCAATTGAAAGCACATGTAGTAGATGTTCTAGCACTCCCGCCCCAATAGCCCTCTCTATCTGGGGCTGAGTGCCCGCTAGTATGTTGCTGACTGCCCAGGCCGCCTCCTTCATGAGGGACGGTTTGTTGCAGCGGAGTAGGGTTATAATGTGGGTTAGGCAGCCTGCGTCTAGGCAGCGGTCTGTCTGTAAACAAAGTAAAAAGTGTTTTTTATAGCATAAGCCGGTAAACGAGCAGACGGATCACCTGATGGTAAGCAATCGGCGTTGCCAATGGACACCTGGAACATTAGAGGCGTTACAAGTGCGTTGCCGGCCTTTAGGGGATTAGTAGTTTAGGAATAAGAGGTGGGTAATTGGGTCTCCGGTAACCTCACTCACACGACGAAACACAATACAAGCGTTGTTTCACGTCGATTTTCTGCTCGGCCGTGGTATCACTCCGGTCGAGCTGGGTCATTAATGCCGAAGCATGGCTCTCCCACACTGAGTGAGTTACCCCTTTACGCATTATCTATTCAAGTAATGGACTTGAGTTTGAGTGTTTGGACATTAGTGTATAGGCAAAAAATATAACATAACATAACATCACGCCTTTTATCCCCGAAGGGTTAGGTAGAGGTGCACATTCTGCCACTGTACAATGTAACACCCACTATCACTACCTCTATTTATGTTATGAGTCCCATGTAATAGGGGGTGAGCTTATTGCCATATACCGGGCACAGTTCCAGACTCCGTTCTACTACTGTTTCTCCGTTCATTAATTGTACATACATACGCATACAAATACACACACAGTACACATACACATACACACACTAACTCACACATAGCTTATTGTATTTTTATATATTATTTATGTATTTCTTTTATATATTGCTAGTATATTACATATTTTGTAGGTATTTTTATTTTGTCTTTTTTTTTTATTTTATTGTACATTTAACTACCCCATATCTGGTTTCTTACAAATATTTCCATCCGAAGGTTGTCTGGAAGAAATCACCATTGTGTGATAAGACCGTCCATTGTACGCATATTTACTTGAATTGTTTGTTTTTAAGCTACTTAAATGTGTACAATAAAGCATATATAAATAAATAAATAAA